GGAGAACAAGGAGACGGGACAACCGGAAGAATTGGTTTCCTGTTCCGATTGTGGAGTTTCTGCACACCCGTCCTGTTTGGAGTACACTTCAAACATGAGCACCGCCATCAAGACTTACCGTTGGCAGTGCATTGATTGCAAGCGCTGCAACATTTGCGGCGCCTATGAGAATGACGAACATTGTAACCATAAATGCCTTAATAGTGGAATATTTTGTATCACAGTGGCCAATAGAATCTGAGTAGACCTAATGTACAACAACCAGATCCTATGTAATTTGTGTGTATATGCGCCGAATTTTGAGAATGTTTGTTGATTTTAATTTTATGCTGCGTACCTGCTTGTGGAAAGGAGAGAGCAGTACTTTCCGCAGGTTTTTTTGTAAGAGGTTTTTTTGTTTGCCTGTTTGGCCATCCTTAGCAGTCTGGTGTATCTTACTGGGCGTTGGGTTGGCTCCCCATGCGGGTGTGCTCACTGCCATTGCTTACCGAGGTACTACATGTTTTGGGTACCAACCATCCCCGTGTGCTGGTTGTTTACTCAGTGCTGTGTTTGGTCACCTGATATGCCAAGGTCTGCAGTAAGTAGTTACTGTGTACTGCAGCTGATGTTTTTTTTACTGTAATGTTCAAGCTTGCTTACGGATTTAGAAGAAACATAATAAAAGAATGGAAAAAAGGGGAGGGAGGAGGGGAGGGGAGGGAGGGAGGGGAGGGAGGGGGATCTGGTGATGGGTATTTTGAGGATGATTTGTTTTCTTATTGGTGTCTATGAACACCGTAACACACAATGGGACTAATGTTACACGGGAAACTCGCGTTAAATTTTTGATTAAAAGAAAAATACAAACAAACGACATGATGAACGAAGTAAAGTGCCGAAAGACTGAGCATCTTTCTCGTCTGATCGTTTAAAAAAAAGGAGGGAGGGGAGAGAGAGGTGGGAGGGAGGGGACGAGGGATAGAGGGAGAGAGGGGTGGGAGGGAGGGAGGGGGGTGGGAGGGTGGAAGGGAGGAGTGGTAGGAGGGGAGGAGGGAGGGAGGTGAGAGAGGGGTGGAGGGAGGGGGAGGAGCAAGAGGGAGGGGGAGTAGGAGAGGGAGGGGCGGCAGGAGGGGGAAGGATGGGAGGGAGATTTGGGGGTCTTACAATGGAACATCTGTGACGTGTTGTTTGTCTACTAAAAGCCATCCAGGCAGCGAATTTCAGTCACGTAGGGAAAAATAAATAATAATTAATAAATTATAAAATGATAGAAATAATATTAATAAAATGATAATTATTAGACTATTTTATATAATTTAATTAATTTTATTATTTCCATCATTTTATTATTTAATATTTATTTTTCCCTACTTGACTTTACCGAAAACACCTAAGAGTGTGAATCGTTGCAGTCACGAATGCTTCAAATCTAGAAGCATTGAGGTGTTTTAGAAACACAGATGAAGGTCTTCATTCCGGTGAGCTATCAAGATCTTTTACACAAACGCCGAGGAAGGTCACGGGGTCAGGACATGAGAACATTCAATACAAAAGCACGATACGCTCAAAGTAAAAACGAACATTAATTGTCACGCACAACGAGTCTGTGTGCAAAATGTCAGCTCGATTGGATCACGGGAAGTGGGTTAAAAAACGACCGAAAGATTTGCACGGTCGTAAGCGCGCAAGCAGGCAAGTGAACTTAATATAAAGGATTTAAAAATACGTCAATTTTCTTTGAGATTTGAAGCTTTCGTAACTGCAAGGATTCATACTCTTAGGTTTTTTCGGTAAAGTCACGTAGGAAAAAATAAGAAAAATATTATAATAAATGAAAAATAACTAAATTACATCACAATTGAGTTATTTTTCGTTTATTATAATTTTATAACTTTTCTTACCTACGTAGTTTTACCAAAAAAACCTAAGATTATATCAATTATCTGTATACCGATTAAATCTAGTTTAGTTTTATCTGTATATGGATAACACGTAGTTTAGCTGTATCTGTATATCGATAAACAATGATCGTGTTTTCATGTTATCTGTATATAGATGACGAATTAGTTAAGTTGAATATGTATTTATAAAACATGAAATATGGTTTTACCTTTCCTCTACTTTGCGTGGCGGTGACACTGATTCTGCCGAGTTGTTGAACTCAGCAGCAGCAGAAGGAGCAGTGCAGATGGAGGGTGGCATGTGATGTCGATCTGAATGTCACTTCTATTTACGATGGAGATGTGTTACGACGACCCTATCATCGTAAGTCGAAAATATCGTAAGTCGAAGATGGCCTCTAGCCTAGCCAGGAGTCTTACAGGGTGGTGGTAATCTAGCAAAACAGAGCAAGTTACAGTAGCGTACTGTATAGACTATATCCTGTGTGTGTTTATTAATTACAAGACTGTATTGCACAGTAACATTTAAAGTAAAAAAAACCAAGGTAAATTCTTAACCTACCTATATGAACTGCAAATTAATATGAAGTTTGTTCAGGAAACAATCCTATCTGCTAGAAAAATAAACTTTTAGCATGCATTGAACGTATCGTATCGTGGTAACATTGAAATGAAATCGCTAAAGCTACGTATCATAATGTAGTGTATAATGTAGTGTATAGCGTAGTGTATAGTAATAGGGTAGTGTGTAGTGTATAGTGTAGTGTATAGCGTAGTGTATAGTAATAGTGTAGTGTATAGTTTAGTGTGTAGTGTATAGTGTAGTGTATAGCGTAGTGTATAGTAATAGTGTAGTGTATAGTTTAGTGTGTAGTGTATAGTGTAGTGCAGGGGTCGGGAACCTTTTTGACTGGGAGAGCCATAAAAGCCCAATTTTTCTTAATATATTTCATTGAGAGCCATATAGTATTTTAAACGTATAATAAATTAAATATGTCTTACTTTTAATGCGACTTCTGGTCACGGGACCCGTGACCCGAGAAATTTTATCTTCAAAACTAATTTCTGTTTACTTTAAAATGACACAGTATTATTAAGCAATATCACAAGTATTTTAAAATCAGTTCCAAACTCATTTTATTTTTATTTTATTATTATTTTTTTCAACTCAAATTTGTCTGGGAGCCATATGCCGTCACCGGAAGAGCCATATATGGCTCGCGAGCCATAGGTTGCCGACCGCTGGTGTAGTGTATAGTAGTGTATAGTAATAGTGTAGTGTATAGTAATAGTGTATAGTAATAGTGTAGTGTATAGTGTAGTGTAGTTAGTGTAGTGTAGTGTATGTTAGTGTGTAGCAGTAAATAAAATCGCTAAAGCTACGTATCATAAATGCATTCACCGTGGCCAATTACAGCCAACGTTAGTTGAGCGTGGACAATTAGACCCAAGCCGAAACATAACATTTACAAAAGAATGTTTCCAAATATGTTATTTTTTTTATAATAGAATATAGTGTTGTCATCAGTAAGACGTAAGTATACCAAGTTTGCAGTCGATGCCACATTGGGAAGTGGGTTAAAATTGAGTGACAAGATTTGAGGATACAACGACAACAACAACAACGTGTAAAATTGGAATCATGGAGAGTATTCTATATGAACAAATCGCTCTACCTACAGCATGTACCGCTATAAACCTTGTTCATGTGTAGTAGTACCCCAGTAATTACCATGAAAATCGGATAATTTTTATAGGGTAAGGGTAAAAGTAGGCTCATTGTTTTTCTTACTCTTAAGTTTTTTTCGGTAAAGGCACGTTGGTTAAATAATACAAAATAAAATAATAATTCGTGAAAATAAGTCGATGTATTTTTATTTTATTATAAATTTTTGTATTTTTTTAGGACGTGACTTTACCGAAACAACCCGCTAAGAGTATGAATCCTTGCAGTCACGAAAACTTCAAATCTAGAATCGCTGCTTTTCCCTTTAACATTCACCTTGCCGGGCCTACACGCACACACTTTACCCCCACTCGCTCGCTCACTCACCCACACAGCAGGAGAGGTGGAGGAGGTGGTGATGATGAGAGGCTTGCCTGGTGAGGTGTCAGTCCCAGCACCACAGCAATGGTGCTCCAGGACGCGCTCGAGAGAGACAGAGAGAACGAGAGACGACGAGGAGGTGGTGGTGGTGGAGGAGGTGGTGGAGGAGGAGGAGGTAGTGGTGGTGGAGGTGGTGGTGGAGGAGGTAGTGGTGGAGGTGGTGGAGGTCTCCCAGGGCGCGGCACTCTTGGCACAGCGCGGGGCTCCAACTATTCATTTGCAACCACGAGGCCGCGGGACTGCGGTGAGAGCCCCAGCAGTAGCAGCAGCAGCGGCCAGCAGCCAGCAGCAGACAAGGCGGCTTGGCAGCTCGGTGCGAGTGGTGTGCGCCTCTGCAAGCGCGCTTCAACAATCGGCGTGCCCCGTTGCTTTGGCCCCTGGGTTTGTGTGTGAGGAGGGCTGCTGCTGCTTGCTTGTGTCTTGGTACTGGCCACACACACGCACACACACATACGGACAGAGACGGAGGGACACACGCGCACGCGCGCAGCCTGCAGCATTCGCCGACAACTCAGCCACCACCAACAGCGATATCATTATCAGCAGCGGCAGCACCACCACCATTAACAGCGACAGCGGTGGTAATAGCAGCAGCAGCACCACTATCAGCAATACACAATCACCATCAGCATCAGCAATATACAATTACCATCATCACCATCAGCAATACACAATCACCATCATCACCATCAGCGATACACAATTACCATCATCACCATCAGCAATACACAATCACCATCAGTATCACCATGACCAACACAAAATTACCACAAACATCACCACAAGCATCATCATTAGCAGCAACACAATCGCCATTGTCACCACCAACACCACCACCAGCACCAGCACCATCCGCAACACGATCGCCATCTGTACCATCATCATCGGCTGTAGCAGCGCCATCGCCACCACCGCCACCACCATCGTCAGCAGCTTTAGCGTCACCACCATCCAGCAGCAGCAGCAGCACACAGCCGGGCACCCAGCTGACATCTTGCGGCGGCAGCAGCATGGGGCGAGATTGTCGCCACCTGGACCATCTCCTCGCCCATCGGCGGAGCGCGCCGCTCTCCTCATCACCGCCGCCGCCGCCGCCGCCGCTGTCCGTCAGCATCCTCCTGCTGCTGCTGCTGCTCCTGCTGCTGCTGCTGCCTCAGCCGGCAGAGTCCTGCGGACCTGGTAGCTTGAACGGGGGCCGGCGGCGCCCGGCGCGCAAGCTGACGCCGCTCGCCTTCAAGCAGTTCGTGCCCAACGTGGCCGAGAGGGCGCTGGGCGCGAGCGGCCGCTACGAGGGGAAGATCGCACGCGGCTCCGAGAGGTTCCGGGAGCTGACGCCCAACTACAACCCCGACGTCGTGTTCAAGGACGAGGAGGGCACCGGGGCCGACCGCCTCATGACGCAGGTGAGGAGGGTGCCTTGATTGGGGCGGGGGGGGATTAGGTGAGGGTGAGGATGGATGATGGTTATGATGATGGGGATGAGGATGTGGAGGAAGATGATGATGGCGAGGAAGATGATGGCGAGGATGATGATAGTACTGCTGATGGTGGCGCTGGTAATGATACTCCTAAATGAATATAACATGATCATTAGTGATGATATATTAATAATGATATGATCAATCTAGATTTGAAGTTTTTGTGACTGCAAGGATCCATACTCTTTGGTTCTTTCGGTAAAGTCACGTGGGTAGAAAATTCATAAAATCATTAATTTATTTTATACCTACGTGACTTTACCGAAAGAACCAAAAAGTGATGAAATGATCATCAGTGATGATACTCCTAATGATGAAATGATCATCAGTGATGATACTTCTAATGATGAAATGATCATCAGTGATGATACTCCTAATGATGATATTATCATCATTTTTTATGATCAGTGGAAACAAGAAGATGCTCGGTGTAGTCGGCACTTTGCTTTGTTCACCATTTCGTTTGTTTTTAATCTTTGCTTTATGTAACCCCCCGCTCTCTCTCTCTCCTCGCTCTCTCTCGTTCTGCACGCAGCCCCGTGTCTCCCTCTCTTCCGTCTCTCCGTGTTGGTCTCCATATCTCTCACTCTTCCCCCCTCCTCCTCCTCCCTGTAGTTCCCCTCTCGCCGTCTCTCCGTGTATCGCTCCCCCCTCTCTCCCTATTCTCATTCTCTCTCCATTTCTCCCTCTCATCGTGTCTATCTCTGTCGATGTCTCCTTCTCTCTCCTTCTCTACCCTTGTTCTCCCCGTGCATAACCCCCCTCCTCTTCCCCGTGTCTCTCCATCTCCCGCCCGCTCCATCTCTGCCCCTTTGTCTCGTCATTTCACCCCCCTCCACACCCCATTGTTTACCTACTGCCATCTCCTTCTCTCTCGCAATTTACTGTCTCCCGTGTCTCCCCGTGAGTCCCCGTGTCTCCCCGTGACTCCGTCCCCGTGTCTCTCCGTGTCTCCCCGTGTCTTCCCGTGTCTCTCCGTGTCTCCTGTCCCGTGTCTCTCCGTGTCTCCCCGTGTCTCCGTGTCTCCCGTGTCTCCCCGTGTCTCCCTCCACTGTACCCTTCTTTCCTTCCCTTCTCGCTCCATCTGTCTACCTCCCACCCCACCCCCCTTTGTATTTCTCTCCCCAACTCCTTGTTTCTCTCTCGCTCTGCCTCTCTCTCTCCCTCTACTCTCTCCACCTACGCCACCCACACACCCTCCTGTGTCCACCTCTCTCTGAACTCCGGTCCCTACGCTTGGGAGCCGGACAAGCCCCTCTCTGCACCAGCGTGGACGGCACCCTCGTGGTGTTCACCTTCTGAAGCGCTCGCTCGTCACCGTGGCGTGCGCGATGACCACCACCACCACCACCACCACGTGACTTTTCTTTCGTGTTGTGCGCGGCGCATTTAGCGCCACAGCACGTGGATTTGTAGCGTTTATTTTCATTCGTTTGCTGGTGACTTTGTGCATTTCATATCGGAGTCGCCTCCAGCGCTGTTGCTGCTGCTGGCGGCAATAAAAGTTGTTTAAAAAGTCAAAAGTCTGCCCCGTCTCTCCCCTCTCAACTCTCTCTCTTCCGTCTCTCTCCCGCTCGCTCGCTCGTGCTCAGCGCTGCAAGGAGCGCCTCAACTCGCTCGCCATCTCCGTGATGAACACGTGGCCCGGCGTGAAGCTGCGCGTGACCGAGGGCTGGGACGAGGACGGCCACCACTCGGAGGAGTCGCTGCACTACGAGGGGCGCGCCGTGGACATCACCACGTCGGACCGCGACCGCGACAAGTACGGCACGCTGGCACGCCTCGCCGCCCAGGCGGGCTTCGACTGGGTCCACTACGAGTCCAAGTCGCACGTGCACTGCTCCGTCAAGGCCGGTGAGCGCGTTGCGAGCGACGAGTTATTCGTGGTGGGACCTCCTTTGCCAGCACCACAATATACTAATAGGGGTTTCCCCTTTTTTCTGGCAACAAAAAATGCCACCTTTTGCAAGGAATCGTGCTTACATTAGCCACAATACTCGCAGTCGAATGCCGCCTTTTGGCGTCATCTGGTCGAACACTGTATGAGACTAGGCTCTAAAGAAGGCTGTCTCTGGTGTGGACCAATCATTTTCAAAGACAATGCATACATTATCAGAGTATTGTTTTTTGTTTTGCATTTGACTGCAAGTATAGTGGTTAATGTAAGCATGATTCCTTGCAAAAGGTGTCAGTTTTTGTTGCCAGAAAAAAAGGGGAAAACCCTATTGGTAGAGTTATTCGTGGTTCGTGATGTCGAACCGGTTAATCGATTGATAATAAAAAAAAGTGTGTTTAGAAGAACAAGAAGAAAACAACTACATTTGGCGTTTTGTCAATGACAATATTTCTGTGGCGTATGTGGGCGTTGCAATTAAACGAGTGCGCGTGCGTGTGGCGAACTTCTTTCGCACCGTACGTAGCCAACCGCACTAATCGGAGGTGTGGGGGCAGGACAACAAACGTGGTGGCCCCACGGCCATCGCTCCACGGTAAGTGATGTGTGTGTGTGTACTGTATGTCGTAGGCGACGTTTCGGGCAATGGTCCTACTTCACGTGCTGCGGTAGACTATTCAGTAGTAAACAAGTAAGCCGTGTCTCCTTCACATATCCGACTCGCTTAAAAAAACATCACAGCCATAAAACAAATACCTTGATGTTTCATGCGTAGAGACGGATATGCGATGAAGGCGACTGTGTGTGCTCATCTCATTTAATAAAAACAATTTAATTCGTGTTCTCCCACAAGCAGCTCACGATCGAGCCGCAGGGATATAGCTCCGTGGCCTTCAGAGGCAAAAAGTGTCCTCAGGCGCCGTGGCTACACACGAGGGGGGGGGGGGTGGGTGGCCAGCACCACGCCCGACAGGCGATGTTTACACACTCTGCACCAGGTACTCATTTGAGGCTGAGTCGACCTAGGGGGAGGCTCAGAACCGGTTCCGTTAATCGCCAACTGGTGTTGGCCGTGAGCGGGAATCGAACTCGGCTCGCTGGGTTCGTAGCGCAGCGCAGCGCCAAACACAAAAGAAACAGATCCCCCGTATAGTCTTCAACAGGCTGTAGGGGCAAGTGCTGTTAGCGAGCACCTATGAAGGCCGGCGTGTCACACGAGGGGGTGGGTGGCCAGCACAACGCCCCGCCGCCTCTGTCTCCCGAGTGGCGATGTTTACACACCACATCAGACATACTCATTTGAGGCTGAGTCGACCTAGAGGAGGAGGACTTGGACCGGTTCAGATAATTGTCACCGGTGTTGGCCGTGAGCTGGAATCGAACTGGTCTAACTGGGCTACACGAACACGGCGGCGCTAACCACACACATACACACATACACACACACACACATACACACACACACACACACACGTGTATGTGTGTGTGTGTGTACATGTACACACACACATACACGCGCCCTTCATGTGACCCACGCTGTATTTGTCCACTCGTGTAAAAGTGCCGCTTCTCTTGTTTCCTGTTGAGTGTTTAACCTTCGGCAGCGACTTTCCGCACCGCGTGGGGTGTCACACTCGGTGCGACTGACGATGTTGCTCCGCTGGCCGTAGCCGCTGTCGTCACCGTTGTCACTTTGGAGCGCTGTCGCGACGGCTCTCGACACTGCACGGCTCTCGCGCCTGGCCACCTGAGTTCGAGCCCCGGTCTCGGCTCGAACATTGCTGGCGAGTGACGTCGGGACCGCACAATCCCCCAACTTCTTCCCCAACCGGCGCTGTCCAGAGTGCTGAAGTTGCGAGGCTTGGGGCTGACTGTGTGCTCCATGCTACGCCATTTACCTGTGTTGAGAGCCCCCCTTTTTGTCGTCGTTGTTGTTGTTGTTGTTTTCGTAACGCATCTGCAAACACAAAAGCATAATGTCGAGCAAGACCAGAGTGGTTATTGACGCATGTGTTGAGTTGTCGTCGTTGTCGTTGTTGGTTCTCTCTCTCCATCTCATTCTCTCTCCATCTCATTCTCTCTCCATCTCATTCTCTCTCCATCTCATTCTCTCTCCATCTCATTCTCTCCCTCCATCTCATTCTCTCCTCCATCTCATTCTCTCTCCATCTCATTCTCTCTCCATCTCATTCTCCATCTCATTCTCTCTCCATCTCATTCTCTCTCCATCTCATTCTCTCTCCATCTCATTCTCTCTCCATCTCATTCTCTCTCCATCTCATTCTCCATCTCATTCTCTCTCCATCTCATTCTCTCTCCATCTCATTCTCTCTCCATCTCATTCTCTCTCCATCTCATTCTCTCTCCATCTCATTCTCTCTCTCCATCTCATTCTCTCTCCATCTCATTCTCTCTCCATCTCATTCTCTCTCCATCTCATTCTCCCTCCATCTCATTCTCTCTCCATCTCATTCTCTCTCCATCTCATTCTCTCTCCATCTCATTCTCTCTCCATCTCATTCTCTCTCCATCTCATTCTCTCTCCATCTCATTCTCTCTCCATCTCATTCTCCCTCCATCTCATTCTCTCTCCATCTCATTCTCCCTCCATCTCATTCTCTCTCCATCTCATTCTCTCTCCATCTCATTCTCTCTCCATCTCATTCTCTCTCCATCTCATTCTCTCTCCATCTCATTCTCCCATCTCATTCTCTCTCCATCTCATTCTCTCTCCATCTCATTCTCTCTCCATCTCATTCTCCCTCCATCTCATTCTCCCTCCATCTCATTCTCCATCTCATTCTCCATCTCATTCTCCATCTCATTCTCCCTCCATCTCATTCTCTCTCCATCTCATTCTCCCTCCATCTCATTCTCTCTCCATCTCATTCTCCCTCCATCTCATTCTCCTCCATCTCATTCTCCATCTCATTCTCCATCTCATTCTCCATCTCATTCTCCCTCCATCTCATTCTCTCTCCATCTCATTCTCTCTCCATCTCATTCTCTCTCCATCTCATTCTCTCTCCATCTCATTCTCCATCTCATTCTCTCTCCATCTCATTCTCTCTCCATCTCATTCTCTCTCCATCTCATTCTCTCTCCATCTCATTCTCTCTCCATCTCATTCTCCATCTCATTCTCTCTCCATCTCATTCTCCATCTCATTCTCTCTCCATCTCATTCTCTCTCCATCTCATTCTCTCTCCATCTCATTCTCCTTCTCATTCATTCTCCATCTCATTCTCCATCTCATTCTCCATCTCATTCTCCCTCCATCTCATTCTCTCTCCATCTCATTCTCTCTCCATCTCATTCTCTCTCCATCTCATTCTCTCTCCATCTCATCTCCATTCTCTCTCCATCTCATTCTCTCTCCATCTCATCTCATCTCTCTCCATCTCATTCTCTCTCCATCTCATTCTCTCTCCATCTCATTCTCTCTCCATCTCATTCTCTCTCCATCTCATTCTCTCTCCATCTCATTCTCCCTCCATCTCATTCTCTCTCCATCTCATTCCTCCCTCCATCTCATCTCTCTCCATCTCATTCTCTCTCCATCTCATTCTCTCTCCATCTCATTCTCCCTCCATCTCATTCTCCCTCCATCTCATTCTCCATCTCATTCTCCATCTCATTCTCCATCTCATTCTCCCTCCATCTCATTCTCTCTCCATCTCATTCTCTCTCCATCTCATTCTCTCTCCATCTCATTCTCTCTCCATCTCATTCTCCATCTCATTCTCTCTCCATCTCATTCTCTCTCCATCTCATTCTCTCTCCATCTCATTCTCTCTCCATCTCATTCTCTCTCTCTCCATCTCAATCTCTCTCTCTCCATCTCAGTCTCTCTCTCCATCTCAGTCTCTCTCCATCTCATTCTCTCTCTCCATCTCATTCTCCATCTCTTCTCATCTCATTCTCCCATCTCATTCTCTCTCCATCTCATTCTCTCTCCATCTCATTCTCTCTCCATCTCATTCTCTCTCCATCTCATTCTCTCTCCATCTCATTCTCCTTCTCATTCATTCTCCATCTCATTCTCTCTCCATCTCAGTCTCTCTCCATCTCCGTCTCTGCCGGTCTCTCTCCATCCCTCTATCTCTCCATCTCTATGTCTCAATCTATATTTCTCTCTCTCCATCTGTCCATATCCCCTCTCTTCATCTCGATGTCTCATTCTCTAACCGGTCTCTCTCCATCCCCCCACCCTCCACACCCCCCGCATCTCTACCTCCATCCCACCCGTGCAGAGAACTCCAACATCGCGGCGGCCAAGGGCAGCGAGGGCTGCTTCCACGGCGACGCGCGCCTCTTGGTGGAGGGCGGCGGCTCCAAGAGGCTGCGCGACCTGCGGGCCGGCGAGCGCGTCCTGGCGGCGAGCGGGCCCACCTCGCCGCCCGCCTACAGCGACCTCCTCCTCTTCCTCGACCGCGAGCCCCGCCAGCGGCGCCGCTTCATCGCCCTGGAGACGGAAGGCGGCGGCCGCCTCCTCGTCACCCCCTCGCACCTCGTGTTCGCCGCGCCCGGAGACTCCGACGATGACGGCGGCGGCGATAGTGGCAGCGGTGTTCCCCCGGAGGAGCGCGCCGTGGCCCTCTTTGCCAGCCGCGTGCGGCCCGGCATGTTCGTCTTTGAGCTGGCGGGTGCTCTTGCTGATCCTGCTGCTACTGGTCGTGTTGGTGGTGGCGGTGGTGTTGATCTTCCTGGTGGTGCTGGTGGTAGCGTTAGTGGTGGTGCTGGCGGTAGCGTTAGTGGTGGTGCTGGTGGCGTTAGTGGTGGTGTTGGCGGTAGCGTTAGTGGTGGTGCTGGTGGCGTTAGTGGTGGTGCTGGTGGTAGCGTTAGTGGTGGTGCTGGTGGTAGCGTTAGTGGTGGTGCTGGTGGCGTTAGTGGTGGTGTTGGTGGTGGTGTTAGTGGTGTTGTTGTTGGCGATGACGGAGCACCGCGGCTGCGTGCGGTGCGCGTGGCGCGCGTGAGCTGGGTGGAGGCGCTGGGGTCGTACGCGCCGCTCACGCACCACGGCACGGCGATCGTCGACGGGCTGCTGGTGTCGTGCTACGCGGCCGTCGAGACGCACGGCCTGGCTCACGTCGCCTTCGCGCCGCTCCGCACGGCCCACCAGCTCATGCGGGGCCTCGGGATACATTCGCGCAGCAGCAGCAGCGGCGGCGACGGCAATAGCAGCGGCAGCGGCAGCAGCAGTAGCAAGAACGCACCGGGAGCGGAGGGAGAAGGAATTCACTGGTACCCGCGACTCCTCCACACGCTCGCCCGTCTGCTGCTCGGCGAAGACGTGTTCCACATCCTCTCGCCTGGCCGCGCGTGAGCAGCTGGGGAGCCAGGAGGAGCCAGCAGCAGCAGCAGCGGCAGGAGGAGGATGAGGATCCATTGCTCCCGGGGAGGCAAACGTTGCCAGATCCGTGGCTCGGTGGACCAGATCGGTCGACGCGGGTGGCGGGCAAGTGGGAAGGTTCGCGATGATGGGCACCGTGCCAGGGGCAGCCACGGGGCAGTCGTCGGCCGACCTGGCGGTGCAGCCCGAAGGATGATTTGGGTTTCCCCCAATTCGCTCGTCGTGTTCGAACACGTGACGGACGCGTCTCGCGGCAGGAGAGGCTCCCTAGGGGGGGGGTCTTCGTCCAAGCTAGAAGGTTGGCCAAGGGTCCTGTAAGTTATAGGTGAGCTCGACTATAATGTTAACAGTGATTGTACATCACTTGCAAAGCAAGTGTCGCCACATATGTTGTTTGTTGTTGTTGTTGCTGCTGTTGTTGTTGTTACGTTGAACAATGAGGTAGCGGACGTTATGAAGGGGCCCTAAATAAAATAAAAACACGCAAATATTAAAACACCGTTTTACTTGCACAGTAAAAAAATTGTAGTTTTTTTCATTTGCTATACAGCCAAATAATACGACAAATCGCTAAACTTAAACACGCAGTCGTTCGTAAAAGTTGAAGGCGGTATTGCCTACTATAATTGCCCAGAAATGTCTGTCCGTCCCGCGCGTGACGTCACTCCACATGAGACACACCCTACCGCGTGACGTCACTCCACACGAGGCCCATCCCGCTCACTAATATTCATGAGCGGGTGGATGTTTACACCAGCGCAGAGGAAGGTCGAGCAGAATTAAATAGTTTATAACGCAGAGTCGCTTCAAATATGACGTTTCTTTATAGGAAGTGACGTTAAAATATAAATCTACGCAGCACTGTGCTACATCCGTGTGTGACGTCACTGAAAAAGAGCCCCCCCTTCATTAATATTCATGCACCACGCGTGTTAATTTACACTGACGCTCAAGAAGGTCGCGCACTCCACATGCCGCACCCCTCCCCAATAACCATGAGGGGTGACGTCACTCCACATGCCGCACCCCTCCCTAATAACCATGAGCGGGTGACGTCACTCCACATGCCGCACCCCTCCCTAATAACCATGAGCGGGTGACGTCACTACACATGTCGCACCCCTCCCTAATAACCATGAGCGGGTGACGTCACTCCACATGCCGCACCCCTCCCTAATAACCATGAGGGGGTGACGTCACTCCACATGGGGCCACCCCCCCCCTCATTAATAATCATGAGCTGAACAATTTTCCTATTGAATATTTCAGATGTACTGTAATATACACCCGTCCTTGGACGAGCAAAAGAGCTCGTAGTGCTATAGCAATAGAACAAGTGCGGAATCACTGAACCGGAATTGACAGATTGGAAGCATTTAGCGCGGGGCCCTTGAAAGTGTGGGGCCTGTGTAGTGGGTTCGAATTAGGTGCATACACACGCAGCTTGGAGGCAACACTCTGTATTAAACGGTAAGTAATATAACACTGTACATGAGGTGGTGACCACCTTCCTCAACTCACTAACACTCTGGAACACGACACAGAGGGGACCAGGCAGGCAACGGGCTGCCTGGTCCAGGACGACGACCCGGGACTTGAGGAGCGATGATGTCGTCTTCACTTCGGAGTACAACAGCCTCGCTCTGCGTTCACACCACGCTTATATCTGCTCTGGCGTGGCCGGCTCCGCCCAGGTTTGGCCGGCTCCGCCCAGGCGTGGCTGGCTCTCTCCAGGCCACGCCTCCCTTCCCAGGCCACGCCTCCCTTCCCAGGCCACGCAGCCCAGCGCATGAACATCGCTGTGATTTTCTGCGCGCGCACAAAATGGCGGCCCAACTTGCGAACATCTCCGCGGTTTCCCGTGTGCGTCAATAAAAAATGGCGGCCCAACGCGCAACCATCGCCGCGGTTTCCGCGCGCGTACAAAATGGAGGGCGTATGCTCGAAGGCAATCCCCGCGCACACACATATCTCCGTGGTCGCACTTGCATCCCAGTACAGTAGAACCTCTGGTCACGACCATAATTCGTTCCATAACTTTGGTCGCAACCCGATTTGGTCGTGACTCGAACCTAATTTCCCCATTGGATTGTATGCGTAGGACTCGTACTGACGCGACAGCTTCTTTGTCTTTCTTGGTTCTTTATTAACGCGTATAGTTCACATCTCCGTCGGCATCGCGCAATGTCCCTCCGTTCTCTTCAACGCACAACTCCCCATCAACATCACTCAATGCTTCTCCGTTCGCTCGCTCCGCTGGCTTCGCTCGCTCTCCCTCTGCTCCTCTCCTCCAGTGACCTCCCTCTCTGCTCTCTCTCTCTCTCTCCAGCCCGGTCGCTCTTTGTTCTCCCTGCCGTCTCACTCCGTCGTAGCTTCTCCACCAAGGTCTGTTACTCCGCTGCTATCCTATTGTTGCACCCTCGAAATGAAGGACGTGGGCAGGTGCTTCAAATAGAGGGCAAGCACATTTATTTATTGTGGTTAATATTAATCTTGTGAAGAACAGCACCGTCACTCTGTAAAATGCAACATCACGTGTGTTACAACCAGCATTGTTCCCGAGTCGCCATTAACAATGTGACTGGTGTATCCGCGCGGTCATTCAATAACCCTGCCAGCCACCTACAGGCCCGACTCAGACATTACATGCTGCTGTGCACACATGCATTGATGCACTGCACAGCACATCAGGGCTTTCACAGAACCACACTTTACTCCCTTTCTGCACAAGGACATAATTAAAAGAGTGATCCATTCCTAATGGGCCACACTCTCCCCCACAGAATGAGTGTCGTCTCGACGCTCCACCTTTCTCCTTGCAAACATTTTGCAGTCTTTTTCCTTAAACTGGTCATGAAAGGAGTTTATGAAATCGTGAACACAATTTCTCTAGGGATCATTTCCCTTCCAAGATAGCGCCACTCCAGAAGCTCTCTATTTCGGGGTGAGCTCCAACTCTTTGTGCACGAAGAGATAGGAGCCCAAGATTTGTATTATGCTTTTGGAATTACCAGACAATCTGGTGTTAATGAACCATGCTTCACATTTTACTGACCAGAAATGGTTAGGATTCTTTTCCCAGTACATGTCAAGATAGAATCCTTTACAGCTTGTATATCGTAAGCAAAGACGGACTTGTACTGTAGCAGAAACCACAAAATAATAATCAAAAGTCTCGACTCGGTTGGAGTTTTGTTACAGGCTTCTCCATAACTAAAACTGTAAACAATCTTTTTCCCTAGAGTGTCCAGTGGGAGGCGTGTTTGGTCGCTTGGGATTAGATGAGCTCAGAGGGACGTAAAGTGCAGAATAAAAGGGTAGGGGGAAATTATGTTGAGCTGCAAGCCATGATCACTGGTGGAGGATGCAAAGGAAGCGAGGAAGTGGTAATCGTGCTATATTTGCATACATTTATGTGGGAGCCATGAGAACACATGCATGTTGTGGGAGGGGACATTAATATAATTAATTAAATCACACGCCAATATAATAGAGTACTAAATTCCGGCTCCCGTACAGTCGGTCTATTTTTTTTTATTCTTTGTGACCAGCAGATGGCAGCAAATAACCATTAAGAGTCTACAGTAACAGTCAGCTATACAGCCTAGGAACACAGCCTACGGCTACGCGTATCCTGACACCGGCTACGCTCTCAGCTCCTCCGGCTATGTATTTCCTAGGGGAGGCTATCTGACCCGACCTAGCCAGGGTACGGGTCCCAACCACCGGCCCATCGGACCCGGCCCTGATAAGGACGTCGGGAACCGTGAGTACCCAGGGTCTCACCACTGAGCCACACAGAGTCCCGGCCCTGACAAGGGCAGCGGGCTAGAGGTCAGAGGGTCCTATCCAGCTTGCTCCATCTTCATTCTTCACTGGCTTCAACGACTCCCCGAGCTCTCTCGCGCACCGCCCTATATACCCCCCTGCCCCCGAGGGGCGGGGCTATATGCGGACGTCAATGTAGCCACCCTATGCACGGACCGTGTAAAGTTCTTTATATACGACCTGTAGTACGAGATGAATCCCAACATCTTCCTGAGCTCTTCCACTGTTGCAGGTTTCCTTACTTAATTTGGAGCTTTTGTGACTGCAGGAATGACTCTTTGGTTCTGTCGGTAAAGTGACGTGTAAAAAGAAAATAATAAATTAAATACTAGCATACGACGTTTCGATTGCAACACTTGTAAAAAGTTCCATTCCAGGTGAAGTATGTATTGGTTAAGCAGTGTCTCACCAGGGGGGTACCCCAGCATTCAGTCCTTGATGAACCAAGTCTTCCCTCATCAAGACTCTATACCAGGGGTCCTCAAACTACGGCCCGCGGGCCACATGCGGCCCGCCGAGGACATTTATCCGGCCCGCCGGGTGTTTTTGCCGCCGCTGCCTGTCTGTTACTTTTTTTTACATGAGAAGGACGGTCATTGGTGGAAGAGGGAGAGGGGGCGGAGTTCGCCCCAATCGACTGCATTGATGGGCAGTGCAGTCTGTATGTATCTGTGTGGGCAAAGTTATTGCTGGTATATTGTTTTTGTAGTGCTGTATATATATTGGTATTTTACTAATAGCAATTTTGACTCCCTAGGAAACAATGATGTCAAGAAAGAGAAAAATTGACTCGGAGTGTAGGATATTCAAAGAACAGTGGACTTATGATTACTTTTTCATGCAGTACAAGGAAAGAGCTGTGTGTCTGATATGCCAGAATATAGTGTCTGTGTTCAAAGAATACAATTTACGTCGACACTATGAAACTCAACATAAAGATAAATATGATTGTTTGGTCGGAGAAGTGAGAAAAGATAAAATATTAAAACTGAAAAATACATTAACAACTCAGCAAAATACTTTTGTGAAGCAGAAGCAGCTAAATATTTCATCACTGCGAGCAAGTTTTCAAGTTGCCAAGCTAATAGCGTGCACTGGCAGACCATTCGTGGAGGGAGAATTTGTTAAAGAATGCCTTCTTTCTG